ACCACCCTACCTCATAGAATCGGACACATGTAGGCTTCTGGCTCACACAGACCTGGGTTTGGATCCTGGCTCTCCAAAAAACTACCTTTATGACTCTGGGTAAGTTACTTTACCTAGGCAAGCCTTCATTTCATCAGCTGCAAAATGGCGATTAAAATACCTATTTCATAGGTGGCCATGAGGAGTCTAAGAAATCATGCAGGGAAAGTGTTCTGCACAAGGTAACTATTAACATGTTAGCTACATTTCCAGAATATATAAAGAGTGCTGAAAAATAAAAAAACAAAATGGTCAAAATCAGTTGAAAAGTGGGCAGAAGGCATGGGCATTATATCGAAAAGGAAATAAAAATAGCTTTAAATATATGAAATGTGCAACTTCACTCATAAAAGAAATAAGAGCACAACTCAAATAAGATGCCATTTTTCACCTACTGATGGTAAAGATTTAAACATTTGATAACATTCTATTGTTGAGAGTGGGGAAAGAAGGATAGTTATACAATATTGGTGATAATGCAAGTTGTGGAGGGTAATCAGTAATATCTATCAAAATTATAAAAGCTTATGCTTAGACATAATTACACTTTCTGGAATTTAAACTATAGAAATAGTTGCAATCCTAAATAGATGAATGAGGATTTTTAGAGCATTTTTTTGGTAAATGTCCAATAATAAATATATAAAAATACACACAGTGGAATACTATATAGATATCAAAAAGAATAAGGCGGCTTAATGTATATTGATATGGAATGAGCTTGAGGCATGTTACATGAAAAAAGAAAGGAGCAAAACAGAGGTACAGCCCTGGCCGAGTAGCTCAGTTGGTTAGAGCATCGACCTGATACACCAAAATTGAAGGTTCAATCCCTAGTCAGGGCACATACAAGAATCAGCCAATGAATGCATAAATAAGTAAAACAACAAATCAATCTCTCTCTCTTTTAAAAAAATAATATATCAATAAAAATAGTTTAAAAAGCAGAGGTACAGAATGCTAGTTATAAACATATGTATAGGTAATATATACACATATGCTCATATGTGCATAGGCTATACAATGGCCTATAAGGTCTTACATGACCTAACTTGCCCTTTGGCACCCTGTCATGACCCCTCTGACTCATCTCTCCCCCAGTTCTACTCCACCTACACTGGCCACCTTGCTTTCTGAGACACCCCACTTACCTGCTTGCCTTAGAGTTTTGCAATGCCTGTCAGGTAAGTTGTCCTAAATGGGGTTCACTTCTTCCCCTCCTTCAACCCTTTGCTCAAATCATCCCTTCCCACTGAGACTTATACTGACTACCCTAATTAAAACTACATCCCTCACCCTTTTTATCCCTCTTATCCTACTCTTTTTCTTTTTTTTTTCACAGTGCTTATCACCTGCTACCATCTTATTATTCAATGTGTTTAGGCTTATGGCTTAAAGCTACGTTTATGGCTTAGTGGCTATTTCCCTCCAGTAGAATGTAAACTACAAAGGGTAAGGATCTTTGTTTTGTTCAGTGTTAAAACCAAGCATAAAATAGCTAGTAGGTACTCAATAATTATTTTCTGACTAAGGGAATGGAAAGATACACAAGAAACGGGTAACAGTTGTAACCCCCAGGGTGGGGAACTGAGTTACTAGAGGTAAGGATGGAAAGGAGACTTTCTTTTCAGTACATACCCTTGTATACTTTGTACCGTATGCTTGTAAGAACTGATAAAATTTTAATAAAAAAGTTTATGCTAAAACTGGAAGAAGTGACAATCTGGACTCAACCCTTCACCTGACATATGGTGGTCCAGGTGCAGAGCAGCTAAGTAATTTGCCCAAGGTACACAACCAGAATTTAAACCCACATCTACTAACTCCAGAGTCCTAGCTCTGAAGGCAACCATTAGGCAACAGAGCCTTTTGATTAGGGGCCCTGTCAGCCCATTTAATGTAGCATGATAGAAATGCCCAGGTATTCCGAAGGTGATGGGTTTCCATTACAATGCACTCCAAGTGAGGGATTCAGTTCTCTTGACACATGAGATTTGGGCTGTAACAGTGCTTAGCTTGACATAAATGGGGATACTGGCCTTGGGGATTCTTTTATGAGAATTTCACTGTCAAAATAAAGTATTCATCTCTGTCCCTTGGTAGTTGGAAGCACAATGTTCTTGAACCCTGCACTCCCAAATATTTCTTCTTCCCAAGCAGTCAAAAGGTCTGGATGAGCTGCTGGGTGTTGGGGGTGGAGGGAGGGATTAGCGGTCACTTGGACTAGGACTATTCCTAGGGGCTATTAAAGGCTTCATGCTGAGCCTCTTGAACATGGCTGACCAGTGGGAGGCTTTCTGGGTCCCAACCAGTTGGTGCATCCGCCGCCGCTGCTGCAGCCAATAAAGCATCTCCACTTTGTCAAGCTTCATCTTGTCCAGGTAGCGCCGCCCCTTGAACGTCACTGGCTCACCAAAGATGACCTCAACCTCCTCTAGGAGCGAAACCAACGGAGCCTCCATTAGATTGAGCTTCTTGTGTAGGCGGTTTCGGACTTGATTCTCCTCCAATAAACGAGTCAGATCCATGTTAGTCTTTTGGAAGAAACGGTTGGGGTCAGAGGCGTGTCGCTCAAACCACTCCAGTTTCCCCAGCAATATCTCCCGCAGCTGAATGGGCTGCACGGTCTGCTCCCAGGCACTCAGCAATAAAGGCAGCTGCCTCAGGCGGGCGTTGGAGCTGTACTTGATAGCCATGTCCATCCGGTCCTTGTCAGGAACCTCAAGAATGGACCACAACCGCTGCAGACGCTTCTGCAGACTCGGCACTCTGTGGGGTTCTCCCAGGAGGCTGGCCTTCCTAGTTTCTAGACGGTGCTCCAGCACCGTGTTCCAATCCCATTCTCCTGGCACAAAATCTGGCTCTTCATCTTCTAGCAATGGAGGTGGGTGCTGAAACTTTAGGGACTCTCTGACAGGGGGCACGATCTCCTCAGGAACATCCTCCTCATACATTTGGAAGATGACATGGAGGAAATCTGTCTCCTGGTTGGTGAGTTGTCTGAAATAGTCATCCGAACACGAGAGGTTTTTCAACCAGTTCATTCCCGAGGTCTTTTTTGGCCGTCTCTCCCAACTTTTGCTTACCTGGAACAATGACAGAGAGGACTGGAAAGGGATTACTCTCTTGGGACAAAGACCAACCAGCTTGGGGTTGATGACACGATGCTGTTTATCCTGATGCAGAAAGGCTGAGGATAGGAGCACTGACCAGTCTTTACTGGCTGCCGGCTCAATCAGGGGTCCCCGGTCAAAAGAGAAGTGTTCAATAGAGACACGGCTCATCAACTCCTTATAGACCTCCCTGATGCTATTACCAATGAAGCGATCAATATCCATTTCCTCGATCAGTTTGGAATCCAGTTCACCAACGAGGTGGTTGTACAGGGCTCCGGTCTCTTCAACGTGGAAGGAATCCAGAAACTTTCTCTTAGAGACCTGTACACCAGCTGCCTGGACCACGATCTGATCTCTCAGCTTCAAAGTAACTGTCACTGGCTGTGGATGAAGTGGAGGGGGTTTGGGGAATTGGGGGCCCCACTGCCCAGAGGTTTCTTCTTCCTCATTCAACATTCTCTGCAGCTCTTCTATGCGATGTGCTGTGGCTGGGTGGTGGGTCAGGGCCCCCAGGAGCGGGGACACACCTGAGTCCATGGGTGCGTAGCGAGTCCGCTCCAATTTCATGTTCTTCCTTATCTGCTTCAGGTCCTCGGCCACCATGTCCTCTACCAGCTCTGGTTTGCTCTCTGCAAACAGGACCAGTGGGGTCAAGGGACGAGGGAGGAGGGGAGGAAGGCCCAATTCATCTGCTAGCTTCCAGCCCTCGCGCAGAGAGGGCATGGACCGGCCCCTATGAAGCTGGGCGTAGAGAGGCAAATAGAAGGTGCGCGGAGACATGCTGGCGATAGCCAACGAATACCGGGGCAATGCCTCAATCTGTGAGGAAGCTAAGCTTTCTCCCTTCTTTTGCATGGCAGGCAGCCAGCGGAGAGTCTTTTTCTTTAGCTGAGGGATGGACTTTAATTCCTTCACAGGATCGGGTCTGGGCTCACTGAGAAGCTCTCGCGAGCGGCTGAGTTGGATGAGATAGCTCAGGTTGAGGTTGCAGTGTGGTATTTGGGCAGAGCTGGCTCCGTGAGGCCTGGGAGGCTTGGAAGCCGCAGGGGGTCCGAAGGGGCGCAGCTTGAATACGCCGCCCTGGGCCTGCTGGACTCTCAGCAGGGAGCGGAAGTCGGCGAGCAGGCCACGGTAGACCTCGGGGCTGGTGAGGAAGATTGTGCAATCCCTGGCGAGGTTGGCGGCCAACCGGGTGAGCGTGGCGGATTCAGTGAAGACGTGCGTGGAAGTCGGCATTGTCTTCAGCAGGCGCAGGTAGTGTAAGAAGAGCTGCTCGCAGCTGAGCAGCACGTAAACCAGCACCCGCTTCCGCAGCCTCTGGTTGTTGAAGTGGCTCAGACTAGGTTCGGGGGGAGGCTCCCGCCAGCTGCACTTCAACTCGTCCAAGATGACCTTTCGGAAACGGAGAGGGCCCGCGGGAGGCACCCGCTCCTCCAGCTCGCACCGGGCCAGCCGCTTGGACACCTGGCGGCACAGTGATGCCACGGTCAGCCGTGAGACGGGTAGGGACGGTAGCATTGGGACCTCCTGCGAGAGGCGCTTCGGAGGCTCTGCGTACGTCTTCCTTCTGGGGAAGATCGACAGCGGATGCAGCAACTGGTGATAAAACCGCTGGAGCTCAGGTTCAGGTTTAAAGGGCTCCATTTTAGCGCTGGCGCCGTAAGCTGTCGAGGTAGAGGCGTCCAAACGGTTACTAAGGCAACCAGGGACCTCATAGCCAGAGTGCGCATGCGCGGCCAGTGCTCCTCCCCGCCAACCCCTCCCGCCCCCCCCCGGCCTGGAACATTGGAGATGGGAGGGCCTTGCGTGCGCACGCGCCAGGAGGCGGGGCAAAGCCTGGCTTCCGAGGCTCCGCCTCCTCGTGATGCTGCTTGGATTTCCGCTCTAGGACTCGAGCTGTTCAGGTCCTCCTGTCAGTGACTGGGTCCGAGATGGCGTCGGACTCGGGGGACCGGGAGACCGCCTGCACGGTGAGGGTCGACGTCTCATGTGGGAGCCGCGCGGGACAGAGAGCCACGACCCCTAGGGGTGATCGTTACCTCGAGAAGGGGAAGGAAGAAGCGGGCACTAGAAGCGGGACCTGGGGATCTGGGTTGCAAAGTGCGATAGTAGGAGAGACCTTGGCTTTAATGTTGGAGGGTGGTGGTCCTGAATTGGTCTTGAGTGATAATGAGGAAGGCGCTTGAAGAGGGGTCAGGCGTTTCCCCAGGCCTCTGGGGTGGTTGTAGGGGAGGTAGTGAAACAGGGTCCCGCAGGAGGGGTTCTCAGCTCTCATCGGCCGGTCCCTGCCTTCCTTGCAGTTGGAGTTCGCCGTACAGATGACCTGTCAGAGCTGTGTGGACGCAGTGCGCAGGTCCCTGCAAGGGGTGCCAGGTAAGAGCCAGTGCATTTTCTGCCAACCGTCCAAAGGGAGAGGCCGGCAAATCTCTTAGACCCTACTTCCTTGAGGCAAGGGAAGGCGCCAAGCGTCAGCTTTGGGTTTGGGCAGGCTGCCTGCCAAGCTTTGTGGCCTCAAATAAGTTGTGTAACCTTATTTAGCCTTGTTTGCTCCCTCACCTGCCAGAGGCGGACAGCATCACCATCCTGATGTGTGTAAACGTGAGGGACAGTTTGGTTATTTGTAGGGTTTCCTTTTCACAGAATTGCCCTGTTCCTTTTTTAGAGAAAATTTTCTGAGTTTATTTGAGCCAAACTAATGATATGTGCCAGGGAACAAGGCCTCAGATGCTCCCAGAATTGCCTTGTTCTTGCAGGGGAGGAGGTGTCTGTGTCTGCCTGATCTCTTACAGATGCTGCCTGTTCCCCGGCAGTGTCCAGGATGCTGCAGGGGCTCTGAAGAAGCAGCCGATGAGACCTTTTGGAGCCACAGCCCCAGTATTCCCGTCTCTCACGTGCTGCCTCCTCCCGGTTGCATTTCTCAGTTCTGCCTCCTTTGAGCAGGCACCTTGTCTGTACCACAGCTGTTCTTCCGTTCTCTGCCTGATGGTTAACCCAGGCATAGTCTGAGTTCTCCCACAGCCTGTGAGCTCCCTGAGGACGAGGATCAGTACTTTACCTGACCCTGGCCTCCTCCATGTTGAAAGAATATGGAGGAGGGAAACCAAAGATAAAGGGAAGGCCAATGGTCAGTAGCATTCAGTTCACAGGGCGCTAGCTGAGCATGGCATGAAATGCCTCATTTAACCTGTCTTCTGGGCTGCCCATGGCTCCTCTGGGCTTTCCCCTACAGTGCAGCAAACACACTTACTGAGGTCAGAGCAGAATGCTGGTCTTCGCTTTGGCAGCATGCATACTAAAATTGGAGTAATACAGGGAAGATTTGCATGGCCCTTTAAAACAACAACAACAACAACAAAAAAAACACAAGAGCATGATTGTAAGCCCTACAGGTGAGAGCAACACTTAGAGGATTCAAGGGTTCTCTGAAAAGGCTTGGGAGCCCTGAATACCTGAGTGAAAGGGAAGCCCCTTTCTTCCTTTTTTGAGTTGGCCTGATGCTCTGCAAAACTCAGCATGTGTCAGAGTTATCCCACAGGCTGCGTACTCTCACAGGGGTGACTTTGGGGACTTGCGGGGCAATTGAGACATACGGACTCTTGAACCTGACCCTCATGGAACACACACAGCTCCTGCCCTCACAGAGGACTGAAGTCAGTGCAGCGTGAGTTACGAGGGGAAGTGGCAGCTGCCACAGGAGGGCAGAGGAGGGGGTCCCAACCCAGCTGGCGGCTGGCGGCTGCTTCTCAGGTGAGCAGTGTCCAGGTGACGTGCTCGGGCTCTGGAGCTAGGCTGCCTGGGATGCATTCCAGTTCCACAGTTTACTACAATGTGACTGTGAGCAAATTTCTCGGTGCCTCAGTTTCCTCATCTGTAACATGAGGATAATAGTAATCAGCTCACAGGGTTACTTGAGTGTGGAAGGAGTTACTACAGGTGAAGTACGAAAAAGCCCACAGTGCATGCTCAGTCCATGTTAGCTCTCATGATGATGGTGCTAGAACCCTTTCTTATGTACGTATGAGCTTTGCTGGAGTGTACTTCACATATCACAAAATCACCACCTAAAGTATACAGTCCAGTGGTTTTTCGTATACTCACAGAGTTGTGCAACCGTCACCGCTATCAATTATATTTCATCACCTCATGAAGAAACTGAACCCTTTAGCACCGCCTTCCTATGCTCCTACCCCCTAATCTCCCTCCTGTCCTTATAGATTTACCTCTTCTGGACATTTCCTCCAGAATGGTATCATCTAATATGTGGCCTTTTATGACTGGCTTTCTCATTACAATGTTTGCAAGGTTCATCCATGTTGTGGTGCATAGTGCTTCGTTCCCTTATATGGCTGAACAGGATTCCACTGTCTAGAAATACCACATTTTTTATCCATTCATCAGTGGATGGGCATTTGGATTGTTTTTACCTTTGGCTGTTATGAATAATGCTGCTCTGATAGCCTGATTTTATAAAAAACATTTTTAAAAATTATGTATGGCCCTGGCCGGTTCGGCTCAGTGGATAGAGCATCGGCCTGCAGACTGAAAGGTCCCAGGTTCGATTCCGGTCAAGGGCATGTACCTTGGTTGCGGGCACATCCCCAGTTGGAGGTGTGCAGGAGGCAGCTGATCGATGTTTCTCTCTCATCGATGTTTCTGACTCTCTACCCCTCTCCCTTCCTCTCTATAAAAAAATCAATAAAGATATATTTTTAAAAATTACGTATGTTTCAAAAGTTATAGATAATGCCCGGCATGTAATAAGGACTCACAACAATCCTGGGATTGGTGACATTATCCTCACTTTCTTTATAAAGAAACAGCCTTAGAGAGGTTAAGAGCCTTACACAGCTAGAAGGCAACTTCCGAGCCTGCCTCCAGCCATGGGAGGTTGGTGAAGATGGGGATGGGAGTCACCCTCTGCTTCTCTCCTCCCTGTTCCCAGCGCAGGGGTGCCAGCCCTCTGCTGCCCTCTGCCCCTCCTTCCCTCCCAGGTGTCCAGAGTGTAGAGGTGCAGTTGGAGAACCAGATGGTCTTGGTGCAGACCACCCTGCCCAGCCAGGAGGTGCAGGCCCTCTTAGAAGGAACGGGGCGGCAGGCGGTACTCAAGGGCATGGGCACGGGCCTATTGCGTGAGTAACTACTGTGGTCTTGGCCTTGCCTTTCTGGGAGGGAGGTGGCCAGGGACTGGTATAAATCTAACCATAGGATTTTGTGGCTTTGGGTTGGAGAGACTTTGGAGAAGGTGTGAAAGTTAGGTGGGGCTCTCTCCAGGCCCTTCCCCAGCTGATGAAGAGGTGGGTCTGGGTGAGGTGGCAAACCAACCCAGGTGTCTAATACCTTGCAGAGAACCTGGGGGCAGCAGTGGCCATTCTAGGGGGCCCTGGCCCTGTGCAGGGGGTGGTGCGCTTCCTACAGCTGACCCCTGAGCGCTGCCTCATTGAGGGAACCATTGATGGCCTGAAGCCTGGGCCACACGGACTCCATGTCCATCAGTTCGGGGACCTCACAAGGAACTGCAACAGGTAAGTTGTCTGTAGCCTCCCTTGTGGCATCCTCATCCCCCCAGTTGTGTACTCACTATGTGCAGGGGGCTATATTCAGCCCTTTACACGCACTTTCATACTTGGTCCTCATAAGTACTCTGTGAAGCATATACACACAAGCCCATTCTAGAGATAAGGAAACTGAGGATCAAAGAGGTTAAATGATTTGTCAAAGGCCCCAGAGCATGTAAATAGTAGAGTGGGGATTTGAACCAAAACCTGACCTTGATGGTCCTGCTCATAGCCACCTTACTGTCTCTAAGATAGAAGGTGACTCCTGGACACGGTGACTCCCTGTGTCATGGTGTTTGTCATCCTATTAGTAGTTTACTTATTTGTGTCTCCCTTAGAAGCTTATTGAGGGCGGGACCAATGTTTGATTCTTCTTAGTACCCTCAGCCCAAAGCTTGGCATAGAGTGAGCCTGTTTGTTGAATGAATGTATGCATGCATGAATGAATGAAGGAAAGACAGAAACAAATGTAGTTAAAGTAAGAGGATGGATCGTCTGGCCTGTGAGCTGCTGTTTCACTGCCTACCTGCTACCTTTTCTTCTTAGCTGTGGGGACCACTTTAACCCTGATGGGACATCTCATGGGGGCCCGCGGGACTCTGACCGGGTAAGTGTCCAGCTCTGTGAGGCTTAGGCTGAGACAGAGCCCAAGGTCTCCAGAGATAGGCAAGCAGCCCGTGGGGCCTTTGAGTGAGATGCCTTTTTGGGGTCTTTTCCCTTCACCTCGTTCCAGTTAGGAGCATTTGTGACACTTTTCTGTCAATGGAGGGGCGACCACTGAGTGCTCTGGTTGTATGTAGCTCAGTGAGAATCCTGCTGGAGGCCCCTGGGAGCCCAGAGCAAGCCCCTGGTGCAGCCCTAAGGGCATGGGCAGTGGGAAAGCTTCCTGGGGAAGTGACGGTGTAGAAGTTGAAGGTTTTACTTAAACTGGACAGGCCATTCCCCAGTGCTCCAACTCCTGGTCCCAGAGTTTCATTTTTCACCAGAGAAGTGTTTTTCTCAGCGATAGTGAGTCACGTGTTGCCTTAATAATGTTTGCCCTATTTGAGTACTGCTTGTTCCGTTACTCAATGTTTTGATTTAAATTATTACTCATTGATTTTCTTTAGGTAAATTTGGTTATTTTTAGTGCTGTAGTCTGTCACAGAGTTTCAAACATATTCTAAAGTAGCGAAACTCGTCCTAGCAGGTTTGGCTCGGTGGATAGAGTATCAGCCTGTGGACTGAAAGGTCCCGGGTTCGATTCCGGTCAAGGGCATGTGTCTTGGTTGTAGGCACATTCCCAGTAGGGCGTGTGAGACGGCTGCTGATCGATGTTTCTCTCCCATCGATGTTTCTAACTCTCTATTTCTCTCCTTTCCTCTCTGTAAAAAATCAATAAAATACATTTAAAAAAATAAATAAATAAAATAGAGAAACTACTGTCCTGAACCGGCAGGTCCCTTTTACCCAGCTTCAGCAGTCACCACCTCATGGCCAGTCCTGTTTCATCTACACCCCTGGCCCTTCACCATTATTTTGAATCAGAGCAAGACATAATGAAGGTAGATTGATTTTTTAACGAGACACTTGATAATTGCCACAGAGAATGAAAAACCAGTACTTCCAGCCTGAATAGGAGGATCATTGTAGAAATAAGTCAGTTCAGGCTTAAACCGAGTTCTGTGTCCTGCCAGGGACTGAGGTCCCTTTATCTTGCTTCAAGTGATTAGCAAATGTTAGAGAGGTGTAAAAGGCCTGTGAAGGCCAAATGGAAACTTTGTCCTGGATGTCAAACAAGTGTTTTAATGTTTCCTAATGCCCTGTCCTCACACACCTAATGCCACCTACTTCACTTCCTGCAGTTGTGTGTTCCCCCATGCAGGTTTCAGTACCAGGCAAGCTCTGGGTTCTGGTCCTGGGAGCTGATGACTCCTCTTCACACCCCACCCCCCAGGACCTTCTGCCACACACAAATGAAAACATGGTGTGTGTTTATAGTTCATGTAACTGATTTTTTTTTTTTTTTTACTTTTGACAGCTGTCACATTTCTCATGGTAAAAAGTTTTTACTCGCCCCTCCCCCATACCCCCACCCCCAGAGTTTGAGAAGCCTTTCTGTCATGTCCATTGCCCCGAGCATGCTTGTGTTTCGTGTATCAGTTATATATCGCTGTGAACTAAATTGCTCCAAACTTAGGGGTTTAAAACCACAAGCATTTATCATCTCATGTTCTCTGGGTGCAGTTTAGGGTCTCTCAGGCTGCAGCCAAGGTGCTGGCCGGGGCCGCAGCCATCTCCATGCTCAAGCTGGGAGGGTCCGCTTCCACACTGGCTCATGCGGCTGTTGGCAGGCCTGGGGGCCTCCATGGCTGTTGGCCAGACATGTTGGCTGTGTGGGCCTCCCCCCAGGGCAGTTCACAGCACAGCAGCTGGTCTCCCTGGAGGAAGGGAGTGAGAGGGGCATCGGAAACTAAAGTCATATTTCTTTTTGTAACCTGTTGTTGGAGGTCTAAAAAGTTCCCATTCTGCGATGGAGCTCACACAAAACACAATGAAAAGACTGGAGATAACGTGGGACCTCTGATCATTAAGAGAAAAGAAACAGTTTCCATGCTGCAAGCCAAGTCATCCTGATTAATTAGAATGACTGCCACTTTAGTCTAATTCGCCATCTCTGGGTTCTAGGTGTGGTATATTACAAACTGCAGCTTTCATATTCATGTCATTTGCCTTACTTGTTGAACCATTGTGGGGCACATTTGTTTAAACAAAGGAAAAAGTGAAACTGGGGAAAAAAAAAGTAACCTAATCTTGAAAGTGACACCAGGCGCAGCCCACCCTCAGGGGAGCACGCAGGTGTGAATCCAGGGGAGGTGCACCTCACAGGCGGTCTTCCTCACTGAGCCTTGAACGGGGCTGAGCAGGACTCAGGCAGGTTTGACCAGCAGGCGTGGGAATGGCAGGCTCAGCAGAGGAAACACCACACGCAGAGCCTTCGAGACATGAAACTGCTAGAAGCATCTGGGAACTGACAGCCCCAGTCTCTCATGAAATGAAGGTTTTTGAAGAGCAAGAGGCCACCCCGTGACGCAGGCCCTGGTCCGGGCCCCTCTCAGGGCGGAGAATCAGAAGGAGCTGGAGCCAGTTGCTCTGTTGTGCCCAAGCCCTTGATGTAGACAGAGGAGGATTTGAGCAAAAGCTGCATGGCCAAGGTGACCATGACGACTGGCAGGTTCCTTTTGGATTTCAACTTCTGGTTTCGGCCAGATGGAAGAGAGTTCAATGTGGGAATTTACATCCACGCCTGGTTGTCCTGTTTCATGTCTCCTAAGTGGTCTCAGCTTCCTCCCCTTCTCTCCTTTCTCTTCAAACACTTAGCGCTTCTGTACTGGAGGGATTGCTCCAGAGCATGGGGTCACCGTGTCATGCCCCAGCCTGAAGCCCTTCTTGGCTCCCCAGTGCCTGAGGATGCAGGCCCTGCTGGGCTGCTAGGTGTGACGTTTGAGGCCACCTGGCCCAGTTCCACCCACTGTGTCGAGGAGGGATTGGAAAGGCTGCCTCTCCTGACCCTCTACTGGGGTGCACCTCTGAGCAGCACTCCTGCTACTGTTCCCTCAGCCAAGTCCTGAATTCGCTCCCCAAGGCTCTGTGTCATTGCCTCCCCCTCCTTATCTTTCTACCATAAAAGCCCCAACACAGGACGCAACGAAAGAGCCAGATGTAAGTACGCAGCAGATGTTTCTCTGGGAAACAAGATAAAGGGAAGTGGCTCTTCTTGCTGCTTGTCAAACTCGTCACACAGTGACATGCTTTGCGTCCCACACAGGCATAGGCACTTGCTTCTGCCCAAGTGTCTGGTTGGGGACAGTTTATTTGCACGGATGTGAGTCTCTGTGACTCATCAGTAGGTCTTGTCACTAGAATATACACTGTTGTACTAACCCTGTTGTCATAATCACTCCTCTGTCCCACATCTGGCTCCCACTGAGCTGCGAACCCTTGAGGGTGGCGACTGCACATGCACCCCCCATGCCTGGCAGAGGGTGTCAGATGTTCATGTAAAAAACCCATTGAAACCTGTAAAGAATTTTTGTGAGTTTATTTGAGCCTAACTGTCCACATATGCCAGGAAGCAGAACCTCAACATATTGAGATAATGCTCCGGAGAATGGCGCGTTACATTTGAGTTTTATACATTAACATCAAAGGAGAAGCATTCGTGGGTTACATGAAATCCATTGGTGATAGGTTAGGGAGGTGGGATAAAGCAAAGTGGGGAAACCTCTGGAACTGGATAAAAAGTAAAATGGTAAATACATGCTTCTTTCACTTAGGTGGGTA